GTCCTTTATATATTTTTATGAGAATTTGTTCATCAAACTGCAAGTCCTGCTGGTTTACCCTCCTAAGTATCTCTTGCATCTATCTACTCCTTTTCAACTCCAAATTCATCTGCTACAAGTGGAGGGCTGTCCCTGTGTTTACAGCTTCCTGATTAAATCTCACAACTTCCTGCTTGGCCCTGTCTATTTATCTTTCTCCAGTCTGCAGCCGGTGCAATTGCTTCAAAATGTGGAACTAGTAATGTCTCTTCCTCCTTTCCCTGCATGACCTCTTTGCATGGCTTTTTGCCACTCTTAATGTCTCCACAAGGCTCCTATGGCCTCATCCCCTGCCCAGGCTCACGTGTACCCCCTCCCATGTTCCTATTCTTCCCTGCTGGCCTGTGAGACAGCTGGTTCTGGTGTTATCTCACCACAGGCACTTTGTGCATGCTGCTCCTCTCTCTACCACCTGCTCCCTTTACGTTTCTCTCATGAACTCATACCTAACCTTCAACTCTGAGCTCAGGCATGACTTTCCATTGAAATCTATTTGAATGACCCCCTCACCCAACTCCATTCTATCTTAAATAGTACTCACCTCTTGTTTTAATTACACACTGTTTATACAATAATTTCTCTGTCTCAGGTCTGCGCTCTCCTTCAGGTTGTAAGTTCCATGAAAGCAGGCACAAAGTCTGCTCAGCTCATCACATCTCTCAAGCTGGCAAAAGCTCAGATAGCCTAGACATACTTATTACATAATTAACTGGAAAATCCTTGAGCAATGAGATCCAAGGGGGGTTTTGAGAGATGATAGGCTAGCCTTCCCCTGCTGACCAAAAAGGCTGTCCAGGGTGCATCAGGGCTTCTAGTACCCACTGATGGCAGGAGAGCCCTGGCATGGGCAAGCTTCTCACCTGGGAAACACCCCCTCTCTGGGAAATGACTCTCACCTCCCTTCAGTGTAGGGATTTGTGCCTGTTGGGGTGAAGTTATAGAAGAGAGGAGGTAGGCTCAGACCCAGCAGCTAGGCAGGTACTTCAGACTCTGCACGACTTAAGTGGTGTTGGTCCCCCCTGGGAAAGGTGTTTACTGATGGACACCCAAGCAAGCTTCCATTCTTGTCCTACAGGTCTTCAGTATTTGTGTAATCATGTGTTCCTTCATGTGTTTGGCCATTCATCATTTTATTCCTTCTTGAGCATCAATTGTATGGCCAAGAGGAAAGAGCTGTGCTTATTGAGACAACTGCTCTACATGTAATGTTAATTTGGATAAATATTGTTATTTCCTTGTAAGAATAAAACAATAGTTTAACTTTTCTAAAGACAGTTTGATATTCAGCCATGGTAAGAAACCAAAAATCCTGTTAAACTGTTTCCCTCTAACTTGACACCCTCTACATCTGGCTGATAGAAATGTGGTCTCATCTGTTACCTGTGCTAATACCCCAGATTTATGCTGACTTGGCTGTTCTATGCCAACTAAGTGTTTAATGCCCATCTAGTTTATTTTATCTCCTTGACCCCAATATTTTACCTCCTGTTATAATCTAGTCCCAACCTTCCTTTATTAAAGGGGCTTTCTTACAGAGCAGAATGCTTGGGTGGGTGAACAAATAAATCTAGAGCAGTACTTCTGAACCTGTCAGACCCAATAATGCCTTAGAGGAACATACAAAGGCTAAACTAATTGAAATGAATGGTAATGCACAGGAAACCAACAGTAATGGAAAGGAAACTGGGACTCAAATCAAGGGAGTAGACAGAAGGAAGGAAAAAATGACCAAACAGAAAAGGATGAAGAAAAAAGAATTCAAAAAAATGAGGAGAGGCTTAGGAACTTCCAGGACATCTTTAAACGTTCCAACATTCGAATTATAGGGGTACCAGAAGGGGAAGAGGAACAGTCATGAGTGGAAACATTATTGGAAAAAATAATAAAAAAGAACTTCCCCATTATGGCAAAGGAAATAGACTTCCAGGAAATCCAGGAAGCTCAGAGAGTCCCAAAGAAGTTGGACCCAAGAAGGAACACACCAAGGCACATCATAATTATATTAGCCAAGATTAAAATGAAGGAGAGAATCCTAGAAGCAGCAAGAGATAAGGGGACAGTCACCTACAAAGGAGTTCCCATCAGACTGTCAGCAGATTTCTCAAAAGAGACCTTACAAGCAAGAAGGGGCTGGAAAGAGGTATTCCAAGTCATGAAATCCAAAGACCTACATCCAAGATTGCTCTATCCAGCAACGTTTTCATTTAGAATGGAAGGACAGATAAAGTGCTTCTCAGATAATACCAAATTCAAGGAGTTCATCATCACCAAGCCCTTATTATATGAAATATTAAAGGGACTTACCTAAGAAAAAGAAGATAAAAAAGATGAACAGTGAAAGGACAGCAAAATCCCAGTTATCAACAACCACACCTAAAACAAAAGCAAATTAAGAGGACAGCTATATCAGGAGTGAACCATAGAAATGAAGATCATATGGAGGGTTATCAACAGGGGAGTGGGAGAAGGAGAAGGGCGGATAAGGTACAGAAAATAAGTAGCATAGACAGTAGATATAAAATAGATAGGGGGGAGGGTAAGAATAGTAGGGGAAATACAGAATCTAAAGAACTTGAGACACATATTCATCAACTAAGGGGGGGAATGGTGGAGAGGGGTGTGCAGGGTAGAGGAGAACGGAAGAGGGGAATAGAACAAATGTAATGGCATAATCAATAAAAAAATAAAATACATGTTATAGAAGAATGCTTATACATGGAATGTACTTATTCACAGGGATGCTGTGACAGCCACAAATGCAGATGTATCCAGGTATTTTGTGCTGGAGATGACTCAAACACATTGAAGTGCATTGCCATTCTGACAGAATTTACCTAAAAAAAAGTAAGGGCAAGAAAAATAAATAAAAAATAAACAAATGGGACTACATCAAATTAAAAAGCTTCTGCACAGCAAAAGAAGCCACCATCAAAATAAAAAGGGAACTCACTCTACGGGAGAATATATTCTCCAACAATACATGTGACAAGGGATTAATTTCCAAAACATATAAAGAACTTATACAACTCAACACCAGGAAGACAATCCAATTAAAAGATGTGCAAAGGACCTGAATGTACAGATAACCAATAAACATATGAAAAAATTCTCAGTGTCACTAATCATCAGAGATATTCAAATTAAAGCCACAATGGAATGTCACTTCACACATGTCAGAATGGCTACCATCAACAAACAACAAATGCTGGTGAAGATATGGAGAAAAGGGAACCCTAGTGCACTGTTGGTGGGAAGGCAGACTGGTGCAGCCACTGTGGAAAGCAGTATGGAATTACCTCATAAAATTAAAAATGGAACTGCATTTTGACCCAGCAAACCCAATTCTGGGAATATGTCCTAAGAATCCTGAGACAGTGATTGGAAAGAATATATGCACCCCCATGTTCATAGCAGCATTACTTACAATAGTCAAGATCTGGAAACAGCCCAAGTGCCAATCAGTAAATGAGTAGATAAAAAAGCTATGGTGCATTTACACAATGGAATACTACATGGCCATAAAAAAGAAGGAAATCTCACCTTTTGTGACAGCATGGGTGGATATGGAGATTATTATACTAAGTGAAATAAGCCACTCAGAGAAAGACAAGTACCATATGATCTCACTTATATATGGAATCTAATGAACAAAATAAACTGATGCACAAAATAGAACCAGAGGCATGGATACATGGAACAGACTGAGAGCTGTCAAAGGGGAAAGGAGAGGAGGGACTGGGTGAAAGGTGAAGGTTAGCCAAAGAACACATATGCATAACCCATAGACATAGACAACAGTGTGGTAATTGTCAGAGTGAAGAGGGGCAGGGGCTAGGTAGAGATGGGCAACATGGGGCAAAAATAGGGACATCTGTGATAGTGTCAACAATAAAAATAAATAATAAAAAAGAAGAGCAATTTATTCCTTGATTCACATGATAATTGCATTTGAATATTCAGTATATATGAAACTGAGTAAATACAGTTATCTCTCGCTATATTGTGGTTCACTTATTGAAGCTTCACTGTATCATGGGTTAACACTAGATATAGTGAGGGACAACTGTATACTTCACTGGTGAGTACTCATATAGAATTTTACACGTGGTTAAAATTATGTAGATTTAAGAGTGTAGAAAGTATTTAAGAGCATATGAAGTGTTTATGAGTATGTAAAAGGTTAATAAGAGAGAGGAAAAGGTTTATTAGGAGTGTGGGAAAGGTTTATAAAGCCTTAAATATATAAAAATAATAAAATAAATAGAACGCAGCTACTTCATGGATTTTCACCTATTGCGGGGTTCTCTGGAACTTAAGTCCTGTGATAGGTGATGGATCACTGTGTACTTTGTGTCCATATGTAAGATAATGTAAAGTTCAAATAAAGACAGGCCTATCACCTCTAGAAAGTCCAGCAGCATGTTCAAAATTGGTTTGGGACCTGTCCACATACTGCAGAAGGGCCACACATAGTAGCAATAACCCCAAGCAACCTTAAAGTTCTAAAACACTCCTAGTGGCAGTACCCCCCAAGTGTAGGACCACTGATGGAAAGAATGGATGTCAGTGTGGCCCAGAGGAATCAGTGCCAGTTGGGAGGCAGGGTTTCTGCCTCTGCCTCTGTCTTTGCCTCACCTGCTGTGAGACAGCCACGTGAGCAATGACAATCAGTAATAGGATTCAGAGCAATCAATGCCTGTTGTCGACTGTAATAGCCTCTCTTCATGATGTGGGTTAATCTACATGATTAACCTCCTCAAGCTGGTGGTGTTATTCCCATTTTAAAGACAGAAGCACTGAGACTGATGTTAGGCAATTTGCTTAAGTTTTTAATTTCTTACCTTTCTGATGTATCAAAAGAGGTAACAGGCATAGATACATGGAAGAATTTATGTATTAAAATGCATAAAAATCTTTATGTATTTTTACCAGAGGAGGAACAAAAACATATATAAAAATGTTTTTATTCAAACAGGCTGTGGTAGTTCTAGTGTAGGTTGATATACAGGGTCTGACACAAATAATGCCCCCTTTTTATTACAAAATCATAAGCACGTAATTCTGTAACACAGAAATATCATACTCAATCATACCATGTGACATATTAGGTAAAATGTTAAAATTAAAACTATAAATTATTATACCCATATTATTACCCTACCAACCACACTCAAGCAGGTGTTACTTCTGCTGGACCCTGTCTTTTAGGCATGAAATAATTTGAAAGTAATTCCCTCCCATGTGCAGCCACTGGAGATGTCTACTGGTAATCAAGAGGAAGCATAAAGAGATCTATGTTTCATATTATAATCAGGAAATGATGCTTGTGATCATTTGGGATTTTAAATGTTCTTCCTATTTTGATAGAAACAAGAGGCAGTGGATGGTGCCAATGGGCTGTGGAAGAGTGGACCCTTGGTTTGGAGAGACAGGGAGCCACAGCCCTGTGGATCCATGCCCTCATACAGACAGAGTGGCTGGCTGCACAGCACAGAGCCTGCTGGGGGAATGGGCCCTGAAGAACTCAACTGATCCTCAGGGCTGTGTTTTGACCAAGGACGTAGGCAAAAGTTAAGAAGGCTCCTTGATTTGTGATGGGGATAGTAAATTAAAAAGTAGATGCTCAAGAGGTTACCACCCAGAGCACACTAGAAGCTAGAACACTGTTTATAAACTAATGCTCTTTCTTTGGTAGCCTCAGGTGTCAGCCTCATAAGGTCTTTGGGGAAAGTGTATTGGAAGCTCATATAAACTAGTAAAAGTCCTTGTTAAAAGTGTGGGTATGTGTGTGTAATAAGATATTCTAACTGAGTCAGTTGAGGATTATCTTTGCTAGCAGTACAGAAGACACTTTCTTTGGGGATTAGATGAGTTTTGTTTCCCTCTGCTTACTCTTCTGGTTCCAGCCAAAGGAGCTATACAGAAGATTCAAGGCTAAACATAAAAGCAAACATGTTTATTATCAGCTGGAGAGAAGCCCCTTCTCATATTAATTGCCTGCCAATCCCCCAATGCACATACTTTAATTATCAGTGCAAAAGCACAGGGCTGGGGAGGACCCAGCCATGACAGAGTAAAGTGTGTGCCTTGTGAAATGGCTAATGATGAGCCCTAAATCTGTCACATTGGAATCCCAAGCCCATTTGTACACAGGACACTGTGGGGGTGACTTTTCCTGCAAGTCCCCAAGTCCGCCATGGATGAAAGTAAACAAGACAAGACATGATTTGCTTGGGGAGGAGAGGTGGCTGATCCCTTGAAAGGGGAAGGCCTCAAACCCCTTCCTCCAGGGGCTTTTATTGGGTTGTAATACACAGGAATACAGGCAGTAAGGATCAAACAGTAGATAACATTTCAAAGAAATCTGAAGGCTTAGTCTGAGTCAGAGTCTGTCAGGAAGGGGGTTTTGCAGAAACTTTTAGGGTTTCCTGCTTGGACCCTTAATATATGAAAGAAAGCACTCTTAGCAGAGCAGATTTCACAAGATTTTCAGGAAGTCTTTGTGATGCTAGATCCCAGCTGCACCCCGCCATCTGCTCTGGCAAGGCAAGGAGCTGCACCCCTCCCCCATCAGGTATTCAGGCTTAAGGGGATTAGAGCCATAAAGTGCTTCTCCCAGAGGACATGGGAACTCAGGCTTTGTCAAAGCCAGGGGACAAGAGTACATTGCTCCCTCTTTGTTGCAGCCCGCTGAGTCCTTCCATGATGGCCTCCCAAGTGATTGTGTCTGGTCTAGGTTGTCCCTGCTCTGAGGGGTCTTACCCGTCAACAACATAGATCATGCTTTGGGAATAGGGAGAGGAAACTGAGGCAGCATTTCTACCAGAGACAAGCTTTGCCTCCTGTGGCTCACATTCTGGAGGTCACTCGCTCATCCTTAGCAATGGGGGGTAGAGTTACAATTCCTGAAACTAGGCAGAGCAGTCCACAACAGGACTCCAGAGCTCAATGATGTCCTGAATGAAGGGATGTTCCATCACAGCCTAAGGACCCTCATCTGGGATCTGAGTGTACCATGTACCCAGGATGAACAGCCATAGCAAAGTTTTGATTGAATCTAAATGAAGAGGCTTAGGGAAGGCCTAGTTTTCTGCTCCAAGGCCCTGTTGGGACAGCCAGACTTTGCCTTTTAGATGTGAGGGCTCTGCTCTGGTTTTCTGGGGTGACACAAGAGGGATCTCAAGGTACATTTTGACTTGGATAGAAAAATAATAATTATTTCAGCTATTTGAAAAGTAAAAGGTGGCCAAAGTGTTTGGTTACACATTGAAGTCTGTCTTCTTATCTTCAGCATCTTGAGATCTGTAATGTTAGCAGGAACCTCTTGGTCACAGGATAGCCTCAGAAATAGAGGCTGGCAAATACTGTCCAAGATCATTGCCAGGGCTCTGGACTGATGACCTCACCCATGCGCTAAGACTCCCACAGGGTGTGCCTCTATTGTTCCTGTGATCAAAAACCAATAAAAGCAATCAAACCTCATGCACTAGCAAAGAGATGCAAAACTTTCACCTTTAAACTCCTCTATGTGCCTCAAGAAGCAGAATATGCTTTTTAATTCCCTGGTGAGAAGTGAGGATACTGTAAAGGGATCTGAGCCCAGGTGTTTAGAGCATGGCTAGGGTTTCATGTCTGTGCACACTTATTCAACAAGTATTTATTCAGCATTCACACTACCAGACACTGTGTTAGGCAGTGCCTTCTTACTTGGGAGATAATTCACATTTCTTTCATCTTGTGAGTGGGACATGAGCTGCTCTTTGTTCTGGGTAATCTTTTCTAGAATGTTTCTATAGCAAGGAGCCCTGGAAGATGGAGACAGTTAATTCCTCCTGAGAAGAGGGCAGGCACCTTACTGCCTATAAGAAGAGACTCTGGTTTTCTTGGCTCAGGATTCCTCTGCTGGAACTCAACCCTCCATGTGGGCAACTACGCACATGGTCCACTTAGGACCATGTATGTTGTCCTCTAGGACGTGGGGACAAGAGGAACAGATCAAATATGTTTTTATACTCTTGCTGTGCTGTGAGTGATAAAGCCCCCTGTCTCTGAGCAAAGAGTCCCTGTCTTCTGTCAGCATCCATTGAAGGATCACAGGCTAGTTGTTATTTCACAAGGAGGAAAAATTTCAGTCCCCACAAAGTTCCTGACAAGCTTATATTCTTACTGAATTTTATATTCAAAACACCCTAAAATTCAAATATTTTATCTTCATTATGTTGATTATAACTGAAGCAGAGAAGTTAAATTACAGTTTCTAGGTCACAGAACTAGCTAGTACCAGAGGGGATATTTTTGTTCAACTGTGTCTGATTCCAGAGTCATTCTCTTTCCATAACATGTAGATACGTTAAATTGTAAACAAAAAAGTGCCTGTAGTTTTTTTTTGAAGGTACACTTTTTTTTGCACTTGATGGAATTGTTTATATGCTATGTTGCCTTTGTCTCCAACCCTACATTTTGTTTTCTGGCCATTGGAGCTTATGTATTTTTAAAAGCAGAGCAATTAAATCTATTTTTGCCTGGTTTTCTAAATGTGGCTAGAAATGTCTAGGCCACAAACCAGGGTTTCGTGAGTGCTATTAATATCTCTTATGACAGATTCATTTTTTAAATTTAATTTTTAATTACAGTTTACATTTAATATTATTTTGTATTAGTTTCAGTTATATAGCATAGTGTTTAAACAATCATATACTTTACAGAGTGGTCCCCCCAATATTTCCAGCACCCATCTGACCCCTGCATTGTTGTTACCATATTATTGATTACATTTCCTATACTGTACATTGCTATGACTATTTTGTAAATACCTATTTGTACTCCTTAATCCCTTCAACTTTTTCACCCAGTCTCCAAAACTGCCCTCGTATCCAGCAATCATCAATCTGATTGCTGTATCCATAAATCTGTTATTATTTTGCTTGTTCATTGATGTTGTTCTTTAGACTCCACATATAAGTAAAATTATATGCTATTTATCTTTCTGTCTGATTTATTTATTTATTTTCTCATTTTTTTAAATTTAGTTATTTTTTAAGTACAGTTTTTGTCTATTTCTCCCATCCAAGCCCCCCCCGTCCCGCACTCCCCACCTCCCCCCAACCCCCCAGCCCTCCTTCCTGCATCCCTCTCATTTGTTCCCCAAATACCTCCACCCTTCCCCCTTAAATTCTTCCCTTTCCCCTGTGGTCACTGTCCCCTTGTTCTCTATTTCAGTGTCTTTGTTTTTATTCTGCTTGCTTGTTTATTTTGTTGTTTAGCTTCCTGTTAAAGGTGAGATCATATGGTATTTGTCTTTCAACACCTGGCCTATTTCACTCAGCATAATGCTTTCCAGTTCCATCCATGTTGTTGCAAAGGGTAGTAGCTCCTTCTTTCTCTCTGCTGCATAGAATTCCATTGTGTATATGTACCACAATTTTTTGATCCATTCATTTACTGATGAGCACCTAGGTTGCTTCCAGCACTTGGCTATTGTAAATTGTGCTGCTATGAACATTGGGGTACACAGGTTCTTTTGGATTGGTGTTCTAGGGAATTTTCTGAGAAAATTCCATACTGTTTTCCATAATGGTTGTACCAGTCTGCACTCCCACCAACAGTGAACTGAGGACCCCTTTTCTCCACAACCTCTCCAACATTTGTTGCTTGTTGCTTTTCTTGATAGCCATCCTGACCAGTGTAAAGTGGTATCTCATTGTGGTTTTAATTTGGATCTCTCTAATAGCTAATGATACTGAGCATTTCTTCATGTGTCTCTGGATATTCTGTATGTCCTCTTTGGAGAAGTGTCTGTTCAAGTCCTTTTCCCATTTTTTAATTGGGTTAGATGTCTTAGAGTGGAGCCATGTAAGTTCTTTGTATATTTTGGAGATTAAACCTTTGTCTGAGGTATCATTGGCAAATATATTTTCCCATACAGTTGGTTGTCTTGCTAATTTAATACTGTTTTCCTTAGCCATGCAGAAGCTTTTTATTTTGATGAGATCCCATTTGTTTATTCTTTCCTTTATATTCCTTGCTCTAGGGGACATATCAGTAAAAATGTTGCTGCGTGAAATATCTGAGATTTTCTTTTTCTTTTTTTAAAATTTTATTTAGTTATTTTTCAAGTACAATTTTTTGTCTATTTTTCCCGTCCCAGCCTCCCCCGCCCCTTGCTCCCCACCTCCCTCCCATTTCCACCCCCCTTAGTTCTCGTCCCTGTGTCCTTCCTATTTGTTCCTCCAAATCCCTCCCCCATTTTCCCCTTAACTTCCCTTCCTTCTCCCCTCTGGTCACTATCCCCTTGTTCTCTATTTCAATGTCTTTGTTTTTTTTTTTTTTTTTCCTGCTTGGTTGTTTGTTTTCTTGCTTACCTTCCTGTTAAAGGTGAGATCACATGGTATTTGTCTTTCAACACCTGACCTATTTCACTCAGCATAATGCTTTCCAGTTCCATCCATGTTGTTGCAAAGGGTAGGAGCTCCTTCTTTCTCTCTGCTGCATAGAATTCCATTGTGTATATGTACCACAATTTTTTGATCTGTTCATTTACTGATGGGCACCTAGGTTGCTTCCACTTCTTGGCTATTATAAATTGTGCTGCTATGAACATTGGGGTGCATAGGTTCTTTGATATTGATGTTTTAGGATTCTTAGGGTATAATCCCAGCAGTGGAATTGCTGGGTCAAAAGGCAGGTCGATTTTTATTTTTCTGAGAAAATTCCATACTGTTTTCCATAATGGTTGTACCAGTCTGCACTCCCACCAACAGTGAACTAAGGACCCCTTTTCCCCACAACCTCTCCAACATTTGTTGTTTGTTGCTTTGCTTATGATAGCCATCCTGACTGGTGTAAAGTGGTATCTCATTGTGGTTTTAATTTGGATCTCTCTGATAGCTAACGATATTGAGCATCTCTTCATGTGTCTCTGAATGTTCTGTATGTCCTCCTTGGAGAAGTGTTTGTTCAAGTCCTTTTCCCATTTTCTAATTGGGTTGGGTGTCTTCTTAGAGTGGAGTCGTGTAAGTTCTTTGTATATTTTGGAGATTAAACCTTTGTCTGAGGTATCATTGGCAAATATGTTTTCCCATACAGTTGGTTGTCTTGCTAATTTAATACTGTTTTCTTTAGCCATGCAGAAGCTTTTTATTTTGATGAGATCCCATTTGTTTATTCTTTCCTTTACATTCCTTACTCAAGGGGACATATCAGTAAAGAAGTTGCTGCGTGAAATATCTGAGATTTTCTTGCCAATGTTTTCCTCTAGAACTTTAATAGTGTCACAGCTTATATTTAAGTCTTTTATCCACCTTGAATTTATTTTGGTGTATGGTGTAAGTTGGTGCTCAAGTTTCATTTTTTTGCATGTAGCTGTCCAGTTCTCCCAACACCATTTATTGAAGAGGCTATCTTTACTCCATTTTATGTTATTGCCCCCTTTGTCAAATATTAATTGACTGTAGAGAGTTGGGTTGATTTCTGGGCTCTCTGTTCTGTTCCATTGGTCTATGTGCCTGTTTTTATGCCAGTACCAAGCTGTTTTGATTACAGTGGCCTTGTAATACAGTTTGATATCAGGTATTGTAATCTCTCCTACTTTGATCTTCTTTCTCAAAAGTGCAGCTGATATTCAGGCTTGTTTATGGTTCCATATAAATATTTGAAGTGTTTGTTCTATGTGAAATATGCCATTGGTACTTTAATAGGTATTGCATTGAATCTGTATATTGCTGTGGGTAGTATGGACATTTTGATGATATTAATTCTTCCAATCCATGAATGCGGTATATGCTTCCATTTGTTTGTGTCTTCCCTGATTTCTTTCTTCAGTGCTGTGTAGTTTTCTGCATACAGGTCTTTTACCCCTTTGGTTAGGTTTATTCCCAGATATTTTATTTTTCTTTTTGCTAAATCGAATGGGATTTTTTTTTTATTTCTGCTTCTGCTGATTCATGTTAGTATACAAAAATGCCATTGATTTCTGGATATTGACTTTGTTTCCTGCTATTTTGCCAAATTCATTAATTAGTTCGAGCAGTTCTTTGGTAGAGTCTATAGGATTTCCCATGTACACTATCATGTCATCTGCAAACAGTGACAGTTTTGTTTCCTTCTTTCCTATTTGAATGCCTTTTATTTCCTCTTCTTGCCTAATTGCTGTGGCCAAAACTTCCAAAACTATATTAAATAGAAGTGGTGAAAGTGGACATCCTTGTCTTGTTCCTGATCTTAGTGGAAAAGCTTTTAATTTTTGCCCATTGAGTATAATGCTGGCTGTAGGTCTCTCATATATGGCCTTTATTATATTGAGGAATGCTCCCTCTATTCCAACTTTTCTGAGTGTTTTTATCATAAATGGGTGTTGTACCTTATCAAAAGCTTTTTCCGCGTCTATTGATATGATCATGTGGTTTTTGTCTTTGATTTTGTTTATGTGATGTATTACATTTACTGAT